CAACGGCCGAAAGTGAGAATGAATATGATTGGTGAAAGCGAATTCATTCCTCTGTCGTGCATCTGACAGTCTACATCGACTTCAAATTACTGCTAGCCAAAGAGTGTGTTGAGTTCGGCAGTTGGCGTCTGCCGATCAAAGCGGTCATTCAAAGCGTACGGTTTTTTTGCTTTACCACTATCTATTGTTCACGCATCCTCAACAAAACTTCTTATGTGCGGGCAGTATCAAGTTGGGCTTTAACTTAAACGTCGAGCCAAGCGAGACAACTGCGACTGGAATGACATCTCTGGAATATTTGTGTTTGACAACGGGGATTGCGATGATTGAAGATCGGGGAAGCGGTTTCTGACACCTGATTCTTCACGGCTTTCAGCTTAAAGGCTGATCCAAGTGGACATGCTCTGCTCTGGAATCAATGGTCGGATTTTCATTTGGAACAATTGTTGAGTTTTGTCGCACTCTGTACACAGATGGGCTATAAATACGCATATGCAGTAGATGTGCAGTCTCATGAGATTTGAAGTGAAATTCCGAAATATGACTTCGATTATATAAGATTATCCGTAGAGCTCGAATATTAATGTTTACGCAGCATCACCCTAACATTGTCCAGCAACATTCCGGTGTTAGCTTTGAATAAACTCCCTTTCGGTCGTCTTCAGAGATTGCTCCCCGTAAAATATGACTGCAATGGCGGCGTGTCATTTTTTTAATAACTTTCTTTCACGTGAAATTGTTCGTTTTTGAAAATACTTGGCAGTAAATTGCGTTTGCCGTAACTTTCTTTACCTGACGAAGAGTGCTTTTTGCATGAAAAATTACAATTACGACTCTGAACACTTTCTAGATATACATTTATAGTTTACAGATTATGAGACTATGAGAGTTCGAGTCTTATGGTGTCACACCGGCTGGTTTACCGATGCAGCTTATGCGGTACTTGACATCGAACACATCGATTGCGCTGTTAAACGAGTGCTTTATTGCACTTTCCAAAAGGCACAGGTTAATATGTGATAGTTGCGTAAACCAATATAACTGGCAAACCTCAGTGCGAATGTAACGGCTTGTATGATAAGAAATTATTTAAAAACTGAAGAATTTCCTACGATCCCAAAAATACTTGATCTCCAAGCAGCGAAGTTGAGGAAGACAGAGTGGCTAACAGAAACAATAATTTATGTATGTTTTCTATTAATTTTTTGAACTTATAAGGGCACCGAGTACAAGTGAAAAAATACTATAGGATTTATCTAGTCATTTTTATGGACAGACTTATAAGGGGGCAGGAAGCAAGCAGCGTGCTGTGAATGAAACTTATTATGAGAATACTGCAAGTTTATTATTATTCCAACCTAAAATAAGTAATCTTCCCAAATCCAAACATGTTTCAGAATTTCATTTAAAATTTTAGGCCACAATACATCTCTTTTTTGTGGATAGGCTTTACGCAATTGCTGATCCCATAAACGCATTGGCTAACTCACCCATTATCACAGTATTTATGTGCACATTTTAAATCACTCCAACTAATCTATGAGAAGACTGCGCGGACGAAACACTACTCGCTTCGTCATCGTAGTAAATCGCAAGGCCCGTGCATAGAGTTGGTTGCCTTTTCCCGATGTATAAATATTGAGGCAGCTGGTGGACGTCAACCCAAATATTTATGTTAACACATATGTTGAGCCGTGAAGGTGAATTTATATTACATTATTTAAAACTTACGGTAGATTTACATGAATATAGAAAGCCAACATTTTAAAACTGAAATATCTACCAGGAAGCCAACTAGCGACTCAAATATGCCGAGCCCTAGGCAGAATGGGAGGATTCGCCATCCTTGCATCGGAAATGTGCCTGAACTCGTTGGAAGACATTTGAATATTTCACTAAAATTAATGTGGCGCAGAAACAGACGACTACCTTACGAAGTTAGCTTGTGAACTATAAGGTGAGAATCCGTTATCTCAATAAGGGGCAAGTTGTCTTTAAGATCCCATTAAATGCCTCAGATGCCATATATTTTGGCCAAATAGAAAAATCTGTTCGTGCATCCTTTTGCAAGCACTAAGTATGAGCTAAAAAGAGAGGCAACCTGTCTCAAACGGTCAAGCGCACCCTTGAAAGTGAACACACATTATAATGGGAAAACACTCGCATTGTCGAAGTTTGTTCTTCCGATAAAGCCCGAAGGTGTATTGAAGTCATGCATTTCGATGAATCATACATAAGCAAACACATCGAGATAGATCTCATGCAGAAAGATCTCACAAAGAATTGGGAGGGACGAGAGTCAAAGAACAGAGAACCACACAAACGGCGGCCACTTTCTGGCTCAAATGCGCAAATAAATAGCGGGTTTTCAGCAAGTTGGTAATGATATTTGTTTTTCATATTTACTCAATTCAGAGGATGTCCAGAGGAACCAGCGTCAAAACACTACCCAGTAAATGTCCACGGTTTTCCCAAACAATATGCCTGCTTCCAAATTATATTTCTTTAAATGCTTGCCTTCCACTTCGCTTAAGTGTGCGTAGTTGATGTGCTTACTCATGAGATGTTGTTTGATATTGTGAAATTCCACCAAGACTAGAAAAGCTTTTTTAATTAGTACTGTTGTGTTAATTACCTTACAGCATACTTCTATGACGATAAAGCAATTTCAGGATGTCAGCTCTTAACCAAACTTCCGTCCCACCGCCTAAACCACAATGCTCTGTAAAGGTACCTTCTCATATAATGGGAATTTTTCTCATTTATTTTCAATACCTTTATACATTTAACTACATTTCGCTGAACACATGCATGAGAATATTTATTGTTTTATGAATTTGGTCAAAGAGTTGAACCTGATTTAAATTTTACACTTGAAGCAGTGACATAATTTTATTTTTGAATTGGTTCAAATTATGAGAGTTTTTAAATGCTGAAATGTCCCTTCACAAAACATCGTGTCCCTGTTTTGGCTAATGTAGCTTGTGCAATTTGCAGTGTGGCTCCAATTTACTGTTACATTTTGTGAACCCCACACAGTGTTCTATTAATGCCGCAGGTTAACTCATAATTTTTTGGCACAATGGTATTTCCGACAAAGACAGTCTCCCTTGTTTTTGTCCTGCCTATATCATGCGCCGCTGAGCGGCTGCCGATTTGACTCGAAAGAGACCCCGTAACGAGCAACGGGACTAGTGCGTTCCGTAGAAACAAGCCGGTGGGCGCCTCGCTACCATGGTTTTGTGCAAGGAAAAGATACAGCTGGTAGTTTTGAAACCCTGAGTGCCCGTCTTGCGGCAGGTTGGATGCAAAATAATTTGGGAATCGAAGAAGGTTTTTATAAAACTAAACTATTGCCTATATTCAAGAGTAAATTTAGAAAAAAATAATTCCTTTTCCATATAAGCAAATGATTAGATATTTTTATGCATATCCTCCATGAAAAATACTTGAACTTATAGTGGTGTCGAAAATCACCGAGAAAACCACAAGATAATTGAGTCGTCAGTTTTCACAGAGTTTAGTTTTTGCGAGCACCGGAAGGTAGTTCTTTTAAAAACTGGGTTCTTAAAACACCAAATTCTTCCGGAATAATGCTCATGGGTAAGCATATTGCGACCTGTTGGTAGTTCATGAATATGCCGTGGTTATGCTGCGGTGACTGACAAGCACCCACACGATCCTAACTCATTTATCCCAAGTAGACAATCACTTTCTGAGAAAATTGTCACTCTTCATTTCACAAATGGAAAACCTAACCGAAATCACACATTAAATGCCAAGCTTTTGGCAGTATTTTTGGCTGTCAGTACGGCAGGACATAAAGCATAGAATACACTATGCAGAAAAACACCAAACCACTTGCCTTGTACAACCTTACAAAGGATAGGTCCATCAATTGTCACTATCACACATGTGCCATCTTGAGTTTGTACGTCAAAGCGCTGCATGTTAATGAACACGCACTACAGGAAACAAAAATAGCGCCATTTAAAGGCTAGATGCGTTTCATGTTCAAATTGATTGACTGGTAGAATAGTGCGTGATTTGTTTACTTACCTCTGGCACGCCTGGTAGAAGTGTCGTAAATATAAATGGTCCGCGTTCCTGAGTAAAAACCGGGCGCACACTGTCAAAGAAGGAGATATCTGTGCAAAAGGTATGAAAGGAGAATGGTCAGTTGTTTATTCTTATTACTAGGTTTGTAACCAGACCAATATCTTAAACGTTTTTACAACGTGATCTAAATCAGTCATTTTATCGTCGTTACAACTCTCATTATGATAAGCATAGTCGCCTTTGTTAGACGTAATTATAAATCAAAAATTATTATTGAGAAATTTTGGATGAATTCTTTAAAAATATGCAGTCGTCTCTCATTTGCATTCACCTTACGTTTTTTGTCGCCAATTCATGCAATGCTCAAATATGTATCTTACACTGATTTCGACTGTGCAATGCGCATATGTTACTTCAGATTCTGGTTTGCTTATTTCCCCTTGCTAGCGGGCTATTTGTCGTGCAGCAAACTACAAACCTCCAGGTTATAGCCTGACAAAACATTACTTAATAGAAAATTGTGAATAAAACTCACAACCGACAGGACAACGGGCCCGTGGCTCAATGGTAGAACGTCAAACTCCATGACCAAAGATCCCCGGTTCAAATCTCAAGTGATCCACACTTGCGGTTGGGTATGGCTGGTTGATGACGGCTAATAAGCGAGAAATGGCCATTCCGGACTTCCTTATCTTTGTCGTATCATCTCATCTATATAAACTCTACTATCATTTGGAATATAGCTGAGGCAGCAGCCAGTTTATCACTGCTTTTCACTAAAAGTTTAGGAGGCGTTTATGGTGCTCGAAGAAGGCGCTTCGAGGAAGGTAATTGTTAATTTTCACTGACAGCGTTCTCTCCCTGGATTACTCTAGGAAGAAGCCACTATCTTCGGTAGATCCCAAATAGGGCATAATGGCCTTATTGAACAGTTTATTGTTTCAGTAATGCTCAAGAAAGCAATCGCCAACTGAAAAAACAATGAGGGGTTTAATAAAACCATCCCACGGTTGCATCTTTGCTTACCATGAATGTAGAGATCCTCATGTGTTTCATTCACTTTGACCATGAGAGTTTCAAAGAAAGAGACCTCGGGCAACTTAATGTCTACGTGACACTGTTGCGAAGCTAAAACGAAAAAGCCATGCAATACGATGCGTTCTTCAAAGACGGAAAAAGCTAACAGAAGTTGTTTTTAAATACCCAGCAATTTGCGGGGTGTTTATTCAGTTGCTTTACTACATTTGCTTTTAAGCAGCCAATGGCAGCATGCATGGAATGTCAGATGGACTTACAAATATCAACGGGGCAGGAAAATGCAAATGCTATGGATGAATTCAGCTGGCATGTGCCGTTGACGGCTATGAATACGTCCTCGTCAATGATGAAGGTCACTTCCTACGCAGCGAAATGAGAGAAATTCGGTTAAATAACTAGCAGATAGCGTTAAAGTAATACGGGAATGAAAAATGCTAATATGTTATCTGAGGAAATTGAAGTGGGGCTTACCGAGGTCTCGTTGGAAATCGGCACGTGTAACGAATATGGGCCCGAAGATTGTGAAATCTCGTATCTTCCGAATGACATCTTAGCAGGGTTGTCGGCTAAATCGTGGGAATGGAGGTTGAAATTTATGGCAATCGAGGAACATCGCACTTTGCAATGTCCAATTCGTCTGCCTCCACAAGTTTTTATTTTTCTATTTCAAGCAGCCACACAGGTCAAGCTAACGTCTACCAAGTGCACTGTGTTAAATGACTGAGTCCCAAAGGAACGAGCGTAAAGTATTTATTACATTGGAAAGCGGTTTTTAAGCAACTCACCGATTGCCACTACTGAGGTTAACAGCAGAAGCAGTGCGCGTTGGAGCATGTTGCGGCCGTAGGTGTGCGTAGATTACAACCACTGTTCGTGCACAACCCGCTATTTATGTTAGATGTCCACAACTGAACTCATGTGTCCTCTGTGAAATGTCTGAGGATTGTCACGGTTCACGTACTGAGATGGACTCTGCTGGGGGGAACCAATGGCATGACTTAGACCGACACTAGCCATCAAGACTGGGTCTTTTTAGTGAACGACAGAAGCGGTCACTTTCGTGCGACATGTTAGAAGTACGTAAAGCAGTAAGACTGAGGATTGTGATGAACACATACTCTAGAACGTATCACGTTTTGCACACAACATTTAAAGTATTAAGTTTCTGTAAGATGCTATAGAGCATCTCCTCTTCGAGAAACATATGCTAACGACTGGCATTGCATCGACAATCGTAGTTCTTCTTTGCGAAGTCTGAAAAAGGCGAGCATGGGATAGTATATTAGAAGAACGCGTTAATTTTTGGGCAAGTTGATTCACATATTACCAGCTGTAAGGGTGAATGTCAGCCACTTAGTGCACAGTTGTTCAGTATCAGCAACTGTCAGTTGGTGAAACAGTCCTGCTTCAGTCCGAACCTGACGATGTCCATGTGTGCTTCGTGTTTTGTTCATTGCCCTTTCTTGTCTGCATTGTGGCAAAGTACATTTCAGGAAACCCTAAGACCAAATGTTGACATATTCGTGCAGGAATTATGCCTTAGGAAGGCATTTTTATCACCCATAATAATGTTGTTTATTCAGAGGCGAATACCATGCCAGATGCCAGCTCAACTACTTGCCAGTGAAAAGGGTACTCCCTACTCACGCCTGCACGTCGTCTCTGCTCAGGTTTGCGTTTAAATTTATTTGCTCCGAATCCGATCCAGCTGAGAAAGCGCTTCCGATGTAGAGAAATATATTTCCGCTATTTATATGTCAGCAGATCGGTAGGACTTTCTGAAAACCACAAATTTCAAGGCATCCTACAAGACGACTAATACTGGGTCCAGGCTGATTAAGATGCAGTGCGGGTCGTAGTTGTTTAAGAGAAGAAACTATTGTAAAAGTGCTGGATACATCGCGCTTTTTTGAACTGCAGGCCGTATATCAAAAACCATACATTCCTATACGGTACTATGACGTGACTATGTGGTTTTCATAAAATTTAGCAGTGGAATTGAGCCATATTGTTAACCTTTACAAGCCACACACGGAAATGCAGAGACACGACGTTTTACGAAAGGGCATTTCGCGGTACTAACATATCTCACAACAAAAACCTTTCAGAAAACCCTCACATCGAGTAAAAAAATTAGGAAAACACGTCCTTTTCCACCGACTAAGCAAAGGAGTCGTTAAAATCCCTATGGCTGTATTCAGAAGAAAAGGTGGCGAACGAACGTTTATTTCGACAACTTCTAGTCAGGCCAGTACAGTTAAATAGGACGGGGAACAGTGTGTGGAATTGAGAGAAATATCTATCCAAACCATTATTGGAGAACGCTGCGTCGTAGTCGTACAGTTATTACCACAAAAATCCTGAGGGGATACGCTGAGCATCAAATGGAATATATCCTCGTACAAAAAGAGGAACTTGAGCGCCATGTGTGTCAACGCACAGCCGTCCCAGATAGCCAGACAGATGAAGAATGACAAGAATTCGACATCTATACTCAGACTATAAAAGGGAAGCTTGGAGAGCCAAAACATCTTCGCTCCTTAGGAGTTTACATGAGATGAAACCCCAGTCACGGTTTTCGAATGATCCTGCTCGTTACGTACACAACCAATTTTATATGACACTTGATAAAGCACCAGTTGAAGCTTTATCACTGGGTTTTAAGTTTTGCATAACTCGTCGGAAGGTCAATCAGATAGAATTGGAAAGTCGGTTGGACAAACCCTGGAAACAGTCATATGATATATTGTCCGTTTCCACAGAGAGTATCCAACACTTTAAATCCGCACTAACGAATTGCAGCAGTCAATACCTAAACAAAGGGTCGGGAACTCGAGAAATGCTTATAAAACCACACGCGGAAAAATTAAAAGAATTTCGGGAGAACAAAGAGGTATTGGAACTACACCTGACAAAAGAACGGGTGTCGTCATAATGAACAAATCGGTCTGCGTAGCGACGATACAGTCCATATTATCTGACCAGAAGAAATTCAGAAATGTAGACAAAGAAGACGATTGCACAGATGAAGCAGAGGCAAAATTGACTGACTGTTCTAGAAGGCTCCACACAGGAGGTTACATAACTGACCGTGATCTTAAACACCTCGGTTCAGTCGCCAAACATATCCATCGAGTATAAGGTTCACCTAAGATCTCTAAGGGAAGTCTAGAGGTTCGTTTGCTTTTAGATAAAGGAAAGTCTCCGTATCATGCGATAACAAAGTGCTTAGCAGATAAACTCAGGCCCATACAACATCAGCTGCCAGCAGGCAGATATCGAGATACCTTTCAATTCATTTACGACATTAAAGACCTCAACCTTAACAGCATGATGATTTTCACACTAGACGTTGCATCACTTTTCACAAACGTCCCAGTCACCGAGACAGTTGGTGGTTACATCTGCCAGTCATCAAGAAATAGGCATACCGATGAAAACGCTCAAGGAACTAGTACTAAGGTGCACATTAGATGTGCAGTTCATCTTTGACAACCAACTCCACAGACAAATATATGGCGCAGCTATGGGCTCGTCTCTTGCACCTCTCAGTCGACGTCTTCGTGGGCAAGCTGGAGAGATCTCAACTAGGCGATCAGATCAAATATCTTAAACATTACGATTGCTACGTTGATGATATCTTTGCGATTGCAACCACAGAAGCCGACGTTGCTCTCCTCCTAAATGCTGTAAACCGAGCACATTTATCGATCAAATTGACATTCGAGGTGGAATCGGCTGGTTCATTTCCTTTCTTAGATGTCCTCCGAAACAGAAGATCTGATGGTAGCATCCGAAGGAATGTCTATCGGAAGAAAACCTGGCCTCGACAATACACGAACTTCGCTAATTTCGTTCCTCTTCACAAAATGTGAAATCTACTCAGGTGTTTGGCAGCAAGGACTAAAAACATGCGTTCAGCAGATAGTATTGAGGAGAAACTTAGAAAAATCCAGGACTTGCTTCGCGAAAACGAGTATCCTGACAGGTCCATTGTAAGGAACCTTGCCGAACACCCAGCAAAACCCACCACACTGGTCGCCGAAAAGACGTTGTTCCTCAAAGCCCCTTTCCAAGGAGAGGCTGGAAGTGAACTCCTAAGAAGACGCCTTGACCAGGAAGCTTCCCAGCAGCACGGGTTCGCATGCCGTTCTCTACTGAACTAATACGCGAGCATCTTTTCGCATGGCTGGGAAAAGGTGAAACTATGAGAAAAGGCAGCGCCATTATTTCGCATGCAGTGGATTCAGGGCATCGCGTGGACCCTGCTGGAGCATTTCGTGTGATATATAAGGTCCCCTAGAGCTACCGTAAGGTACTGGGCCAGCGCTTGTTAGCAACAGCAGAAGCGGCCGTCATCAGGTTACGAGAACCGACCCTATGCGCCCAGAATAATCTCGTTCAGGCTTCTCGCTTACCTTGGTCAAAGCTTGACTAACCACATACAGGTTTCTGCGCCCTACTGCTCTTGTCTAACCTGTAGTTTTAAAAACGAACTTTTATCGAGTTTTTTACCCACTGAACCCCGTTCCATAGAACTGTACTGGCCTGACGAGAAGTTATTGGAAGCAAAGTTCGTTCGCGGCCTTTTCTTCTGAAAAATGGTTTGTCCACAAAATAACCTTCAATATAGACAAATACAGTAAGTGAGCTACCTCCGGAAATGTTATCCGAAATTCCGAAATTCGTTTTTGTCTCGAAAATATTACTTAAGTATGGTTGAAAACTAATCATTGCGCAGTATAATTCTATAATAATTCAGTTACCTCTAGATGCCGGATTACGAATGAAAGTCTTTGGGGCTGCGTGCAAAAACTATACCCTGTAAAAATGAGTACTTAATTGGCATGTATTTTTCTTATCGATTTTAGATGCTCTTGCTTATGCATTTATATTTCATGGAAAACAGGCTTAAACATATTCATTCTTTTGCTTTGTCGGTAGAAAAGGATGAGTTCTCCTATTGTTTCTACTCGGAGTAAGGGTATTCGGAAAGGCATTTTATTGCGAGATTTGTTAGTACCGTGAAATGTCCGTTCATAAGACGTCATGTCTCTGCATTTTCGAGTGTGGCATGTAAAGTTAACAATGTGGCTCAAATCGACTGCTAAATTTTATGGACGCCATATGGTCACGGCTTAATACCTTCTAGAAATGTATGGCTTTTTGTAGGCGTCTTGCAGTTTAGAAGGCCCGAATGCACGTAGGACGGCAGGGCGGAGTCCAAAATTATTCGAAAGTTGAAATAGTTTTTGAAAGCCGAATTATACCATACCTTCGCGCATGCAATTGGAAGGCGTCATGTTCTACCGAATGAATAGAAGCATAAATATCTGTATGCACTTGTTTACATGAAATATTATTGAAGTTTTAAGGGTATCCATTGTAAATAAGACAAATGCAGGCTAATTAATCAGTCATTTTTAGAGAGTACAGTTTTTGCATGCAGTCAAAGAGACGTTCGTTCAAATGCAGGTATCGTGAGACAGCTGAATTATTTTCGAATTACGCTGCATGATGGTTAGTTTTACAGCCCTACTTAAATAACC